CCCCCAGCTGTGCTGGGACGCAGCTGGCCACCCACTGAAATGCTGCTGCTGGACGCCCCGGCTCCCACCGCCCCCATCCTGCGCAACAGCACCCTTCATCCCTCCCCAGCGTCGTGGCACCTCTGCTGCTTGCCACATGTTTGTCCTGGCCTGCTGAGGGCTCCTGCCTCTCCCTCCCATGCTCACACTCAGTGACTCACTCCCCATCAGGCAGGAAAAATACTTTCCTAGTGACTCCCACCTGCAAGGGGAGGAAAGGGTGTTCCCCTCCCATCCACACCCATGCATGCTGCCCTGCAGCTAATGGCACCTGTGCCCTCCTTCCTGAGCCACCAGTACCCCATGCAGTTCCCAAGTACCTGGGGAGGACACCTTGCCTCTTTGCTCTCCATCAACTGGTTTTGCAGCCACAAGGCAGGGGCTGACTTCTCTCCACCTGCTCTTGGCTTGCTAGGCATGCTCTCCTCTTGGTTTTGGTTGTTTTGTGATTAGCTGCCAGCATAAAGGGGCGATTGCTGTCAGACAACGGCAGGTCCCCCCCTGGGCTGGCAGATAAAGGCACTGAGCTTGCCTGCTGGCCCACAGGCTGATGGAGTTAGCCAGTGGGCACCTATTTCCAGCCCCTGGCTGCCAAGCATGACCCCATTTGTGAGCAAACACTGAAAGCTGCCCCACGGACTCAGTTACCAGCTCTCCTCTTGGTCCGCGATCACCCGGCGAGCCTGGGGGACCTCTTTCTCCATTGCTGCCCTGCAAGGAAATGGTGGGAACACAAAATCAGGACCTGCTCCCAGCAGGAGCAAAGCCCTCCCTCACTGCCCACCTCTGAGTGGGCTCACCCCCAGCCCTCCTCCTCCTCCGCAGGGTACCAGCCCCTGCCAATGCCCTGCCAGCATGGTGCCCTCACTTACCCTTTCTCCAGGAGGACCATCTGCACCCGGAGCACCCTGTGGAGAAACAACAGGGGTAGTCAGGCAGTGGGGATGGCTGGCAAGCATGCATGTGGGGCATTACAGGCACAGGCAGAGGACTCACCTCATCGCCCGTCTCTCCTGCCGGTCCAGGCTCACCCTGGTTTCCAGGTGCACCCTGGGTGAGCAAGCCACAGGGGTGCAAATGAGTCAAGTTGGCAGGTTTTGGAGCAATGCCTTGCACGCTTGCAGAGCCTTGGGCAAGCTCTGCTTCAAAGCCAAGGCTGGAGCAGGGAACCTCTCCCTCTCACAGAGGGCAGCGGATGCTCATGCACAGGCATTTCACCCACCTTCTCTCCAGGGCTGCCAGGAATCCCCTGTCGGCCAGGTTTTCCATCATCCCCAGGCTCCCCCTTCACAAGGACACAAGGCACTGTCAAGACTGCATCCAGCACCCAGTGGTGGATTTCAGCTCCCGGGGCGCAGAGGCTGTCAGGAGCCCCATGCACCCCAAGCCCCTCTGTAGGCTGTGGTCTCTCCTCAGGGTGCTCCCCATCCCCAGCAGATTCCTTCCCTTCCTACCCAGTGCAAGCCACCTTTTCACAGCAGCCCCCCAATATCTCAGGGGTGCTCGTGCCAGGCTTGTGGGCACCCACTAACCTTGGGTACACTGGGAGTCACACCGGCCAGATTTTACTGTGGGTGACTGGTAGCGTCCTCTAGCATAGGCCTGCCCCCAAGAAGTGCAAGGAGGCCAGCAATGGGTCTATTGCCACCTCTCCCTATTGCAGGAAAGGGGTCCCAGCACCCCTCTTTCTCTATGGGGCTGGGCAGAGTGGCTCACCTTTCCTCCCTTGGGTCCGTAAGCACCGGGATCTCCCTTTGGTCCTGGTGGGCCTTGAGCTCCCTGTTGAAAATAAAGGCAGCATCACTGAAACCCAAAAGCTGGTATCACTGTCTCTGGGAAATTGGGCATGGACTGAGCATCCCAGCAGCCTGGCCCACAGCTTCTCAGTGGGACAGACAGGAGGGACATATACTCAAGAGTAACACAGGGATGGTATTGGTACCCTTGCACCATGGAGCTGTGCAAGCAACGCTGCAGCCACATTGCTGAAACACTGCAAAACTAAGCGTACTTCTGCAGTTCAGAGGAAAATGGCAGAAAAGGCGATTGTTGGGCTGCTGTGGCTGGACCACAGTGATACTGGTGCCACCACAGATGTATCATCTTAGGAACACGGAAACAAGCAGTGAAACTGGAGAAATGCAATGTTAGAATAAAGTTTTCCAGAGCCCTCCAAATTCTCTAACATTTTCTGGGTGGCTGGTCACACCAGACTGAAATTTGTTAATCTGGGGCTTGCCTATCCACAACTCAACTCTTCTTTGCCGAGTTCCCTGTGCTGAACAGCCTCCAGCCAAAGACTCCCCCAGCACGCAGCTTCCCAGGCAGCCCTGTGCAATGGGGGGCAGCTTCCAGGCAAGGACAAGGCAGACTGCCCCGGGGACATCCCCGAGGTGCCATACCTGGCGTGAGCATTGCATGTCTAGGGGCACATTTCCAAGCGTGGCAACTCCCTCCCACATCTCCCCTTCTTGGGGGGCTCCCTGTTTCCACATGCCATCATGGCAGATCTGCTGTGCTGGTTCATTCGCATGCAAGGGGCACCCACAGGGTACGTACATCAAATCCGGGTGAGCCTTTGCAGCCAGGTAACCCGGGGTATCCAGCTTCACCCTGTCAGACAGACAAAGCAGGGGTCTCCATGAGCGGTGCCCGTGGAAAGACCCCAACCATCATCCCAGAGCCCTGAAAGGGACATCCCAGCCCTGTCCCTGGCTGGCAAGTGGGTGGCCCTGCAGGGAGGGTGTCCCATTGCCCCACGTGGGACACTGGCTTTGCTCCTGGACCCCACAATGGTTTTGGAGGGGCAAAAGCTGGGGTCCTCAGGCTAAGCAAAGTGCCCCTGAATGGAGATTTACCTTCATGCCATCGATGCCATCGATTCCACGCCTGCCCTTCTCACCCTGCAACGGAGAATAGGGACCATGAAGAAGTGATTTCCAAAGACCCTTCTCCCCCCAGGCATTAACCAGAAAGAATGAATGGTGCAAAAGCAGAGGCTGACCTTGGCTCCTTTGGCTCCTCTCGAGCCCTGCAAAAGGAAGGAGACAGATGTTAGGTCTCTGTGCAGAGCAGATCCACACCCCCACCACACTATGGTCCCCACACTGGCTTGGTCTGAGTGTGCAGGCATTCACTGTGCCTCTGCACACCGCTGGTCTCTCCTGTTCTGCCTGGCTGTGCTCACTGCACGGTGCTTGTCTGATGCCCAAGGCTGTGTCAGCTGCAAACTTCCTGATCCTGTTAGATGCCCTCTCCTGGCACGGGCAGTGCTGGCAGGAGGAATGGATATATGCAGGCACATACCAGACCCCAACACCATGCTGCTGCAGGGGCAACCTGAGGTAACCAAGCAGGGGGACACAGAGATCTCCCCACAAGATCCTTGCTGTCCTCACCTTTTCTCCTCGACTTCCTTTGTCACCCTAGAGATGAAAGGGGAGAGGAAAATGGGAGAATGAAAACACTTGCAGCACAAAGCCTGTGGCCTATCTAGGAATCATGCCTGTGACCCTGCAGCCCCATGTACCTTCATTCCTTGGTAGCCAACAGGTCCCATGTCTCCTGGCCTGCCCTAGAGGACAGAAACATGGTGTTACAGAGGCAGATACTGTCACCACCATCACCATAGGGCAGTTTTCCCCCAGGCTCTTAATGTGGGGCTCAGGTCCCAGCCACCATATCCCCCCTGCAGGAGTCTCTCCCATGACTCCATTCCTTGTTTGCCTGGTCTGGGAGCACGGGACCATCGTGGAGGGCAGAGGGGATCTGCCTTCACCTTAACCATCTCCAGTCCTTCCTGGGGGTGAGGGCATTTGGGGACACATCCTCTGGGATGAAATGGAAGGTCAGAAAACCCTTGGGAAGGAAAAATGCATGGCGTGGCGTTTCCAAATTGGGAATGCACAACATGAGTAACTGCACACTCACGTGTGTGGGAGAAATACATCTCCCAAAAATAAGTGTACCTAGTAAAAAAAAGGGAGGAGGAAGGAAATAGTTTCCTCATGCTATTAGCTTATTATTTACCAAAGGTTCCCTGTAACACTGCTGTGCTTGTCATGTCAGAGGACGTGGGAGGGAGCCCAGACTCCACTCCTGGGCTGGTGTATGTGAGTCAGAGGTGTGTCCTCCAGGAAGAATGGCTATTTTGGATGAGGAACAAGGAAGCCTTGTAGCAACAGAGGAGGGGGGCCACCCCACTGGCCGTCAGGAGCCACTACTCAGCAGGGTGGCTGTGGAGGGGGACAGCTAGCCTTGACCCCACTGACTACCCCATGGAAACAGAGTGGTGTAGGGGCAAGGGCTGGTTAGGATGTGCCCGAGAGGTCTGGCCAGAAGTGGCCTAAAAATAGCCCCTGTGCAGAGTCACCAGGGCTGGTCCTTTACTTACTGGGTCTCCAGCCTCTCCTTTCTGGCCAGGAAGACCTGGTTTGCCTCTTTCTCCCTGCAATACAGAACAGAAATAAAATTAGCTCATCATCCTCAGGAACAGAACGACAACCTGTTGAAAGGAGAGCAGGGAGGATGGTAGCAGCAACGCTCCATGGATGTGGGGAGCAGATGATGCCAGCCACATGGGAGCATGGTGTGGGTCCTCATCCATCTCTCCATTGGGAAGAGGTGGGGTGGCAAGAACCTGTGCCCCCCTGGTCTCTGAGCATCCCCAGTGAGCTCATCCCACTGCCTCAGTCCTGCAGCATGGCCACAGCTGTTCCCTCACCTCATTGCCTGGGTCACCAGGAGGTCCAGGGGGCCCTCGGAGAGGCTGTGGGAGAGAGGTATGAGTTAGACCAGCCACGAAGGCACAGTCTGGAGCCATGGGGATGTGAGGGAAGGGGACAGAGGGTCTCAAAAGCCTGACTCACCTGGCACTCAAAGGAGCAGCACTGCCCAGAGAGAAGGAGAAAACAGCATTAGAGGCAGCAGGCAGCACCAGGGCCAGGCTGCACCCTGCTTGAGGGGAGCTCCCGAGGCTGGCAGGGGTCAAGCAGGGGCTGCCTGCAGGGCAGGGCTGTGCCACTGAGCCCCCGCTTGACTGTGGGTCACCCACAGGGGACAGGCTCAGGCACAGGATCAGGGGAGAGCAGGTCTCTGGGGGACACTCACCGATTGCTCTGTGTTAACTTTCTGCAAGACAAGAAAGCAAAGAGAGGGGGTTTTAGAGGGACAGGTGAGCCTGGGGAGGGGGCAATCTGGGGAGGGGGTGGGCAGCACTCACAATCATGTCAATGATGGTGTTTATGGTTTCCTCCACATCGAGCTCCCGGGTTGGCTTCAGGCTAGTGGCTGTGAAGTTGCGGCGGTAGGCCTGGTCCGTGGCAATGATGTTGAGCCGCTGGTCCTAGGGTTGGGGGGTGGGGAGGGCAGAGTGAGACCTGTGGGCACCCGTGCAGGACCCATCCTCAGAGACCACCCGGGGGACCTGCATCCTCCCTCCAGGGAGCGGCTCTGAGGGGCACTCAGAGCCTCCTTCATCATGTTGGTGAGTGGGACCCTTCAGAGAGCATCCCTGCTGCATGGTCCCTACCAGGTGGTTGGGGGAGATGGCAACAGAGAACACTTTGATCCCCAAATGTTTTGCTTCATTGGCAGCATCGTCCAGACCTCCGCAGGGCTCCTTGTACCCTTCCAAGGGGTGTCCATCAGTCACCACAATCAGGTATTTATTCTCCTTGTGATGGGAGCCACTGCAAGGGTTTAAACACCAGATTTAATGTTGCAAGGATTTAACAGTTATAGCTGGAGAGGAGTGGCTTCGGCACATCTGGACACTTACACTGGCACTGGCAGTGCCCCAGCCTATGGTCAGGGCATGCCTCATCCCAGCGAAGCCAGAGCACTAGCAACCTGCCACCCCTGTGCCTATTTCATGCCTAGGTGACCTCCTCTCCCACCCTGGGGACAGCTCTGCACAATGCACAGGGACATCCTAACTCAGAAGCTCCCAACCTTCATTCACCACAGCCATACCACCAGCATCACCCCCTCCACCTGCCCCACCCCACTGCCTTACCTGATGAGCAGCTCCTCGATGCCCCGTTTTATGGCACAGTCGGTGTAGGTGCCCTTCCCAATGTAGTTCACAGCTGAGACACGGTTCTTCAGCTCATTCCGGCCGCTGGGCATCGAGGTGAGGCTCTTGATGAGCACAACCTCATCACTGTAGTGCAGTGCCCCAGCGTTCCACACCAGGTTGCGGTCACAGCGGTAGTACCTGCACAGACACACCAGGACATGTGCTTTCAGCATCTTTGTCCACGTCCTGCCACCGCCTCCACTTCACCTGTACCGGCCCACCATGCAAAATGCAAATCCTCTGGCAAACACTGCAAGGCTTTGCTAGGGGTCCTTGCTCTCCTGCAAGGCTGGGATGTGCTTCACATGCAAAGCCCAGCCATGGGAGCAGGACAGTTTGTTTGGCAAGTGGAA